TCTGATGTAAATCCGATGATTCTTATAAACAAGGGAGAACGAGATACACGGGAGGCGGCACTGGGTCTCTCATTACTCGGTTCAGGACCTGGCTCGACAACCGACCGATTTCATATCAGACGCATCTATCTGGAGCACCCAGATACATAGGCGGCCTCCTCCTATATGTGATGAGTATAAAGTACAAGCGCGTCAAAATGTGAGATACATATCGCGATTTTGGCAGTGAGGTGGTGCGTAATATATTTGCGGATACCATTATGATTTATTCGCCATAGATCGATATGGAGAAAATATCTTTAATATGTGTTATCGTGATTTATCGAGCCTTCTTATACTATAGGTTCAAGTATCGGTTTTCATAACGAATAATAGCTACATAAATCATGATTATTAGCTTATAGGAATATTAGTCTTTTCTTTATTTCTGATTTTGAAACAAAATTAAGAATTATTAATGAAATTTTACGATAAGTTGAATGATACAATTTACACCTACATGGAACAATTTGAAAAGAACTTAGTGATGTTCCATTTTATCTTACATTAAAAGAGTAGAATGTAAAATACAGTAAAATCAGTTCAACTATTTTATAATATTTGTTATTCAAAACATTAGTCTTTCACTAACGATGTCGAAAATGTTAATCGACTGTATCATTATAGATGGAATCCGTAGAATATTGAATAGCGATATTCGGATAATAGATTTTCGTAGTCGAACGTCAACGCCATTCGATAAAGTTGGTTTCTGCAGAATCTCTGGAACTGATTAGTCAACAAACCGTGCTTTTATCTTGTAGGAAGTATATGATACCGAATAATGGTACATTCACCGATAGGAATGGAAAATAATTGTTGTTGTATCCACTGATATCCTATCGACAGATATTATTACAGAATAAGGAGAATAATGAGATAAAAAAAATTTCTTTTCTTTTTTCTCTTTTATTCTAATGAATCAAGAAAAACATACATGATTTTAACAAAAATTAAATTAAAAATTTTACAAAGATAATTAATCTGTATAAAATTTAAGATGTATATACATATATATATATATATATA